CATCATCATCATAATGTATTGTATTATGGTGGAGGTCCTCCTCCTAATGATAGTGGCCATGGAGGGTACCATTCTCCGAAAGGGTGGGAAATACTATTACTAATGCACTAATGGACTAACAACAACAACACGATATGCTTTCGAACTGTAAACTGTAGGCAATAAGATAATAATGATGATGATGATGATGCGGATGGTTTTGAATAATTATAATATGGTTGTTATTATTGCCATCATTATTCAACGACATCAGAGATCATCGATAATAGATTACATTGATAATAACTAGTAATGATAATAGAGTAATGCTCATAATCATCATCCTCCATGATCTGGTGGACTATACACTACTTAGTAAAGGAAGAGGAGATGGAGCCTATTATAATATTCGAACGTTCTAAAGTGTGTAACATATCTCCCCATTCATCATCATCATTAACTGGTACTACTTTTTGTCGAGTTATACAATGAAGCATTGATGAAAGAATAGTGAGCATGTTATAGCAAGGGTAAGTTAGATGTTCCCATCGTATGGTATCTATAAAGAGCCTTTTGAGCATGACGACAATATGCACAAGATAATCTTCCATTACCATTACCTTCTATAGTTGATAACAATGTTTGTATACGATGTTCTTGTCGATGAGTAACTGTATAACGAAAATCAGCAGCAGACTGGATTCATTGTTTACTCCGGTATTGTACCTTCATCCTTGTTTTGTAATAAAGATAGAGTCCTCCCCCTTCCTCTCATGATCATCATCGAATCACCAACACCATGATGATGGTGGTCATGATGATGACTATTGGTATTATCATTATTCAATACATCATTACCAGCATCACTCGAGGAGCAAGAGCATTGAGCATCATCATGTGGTGGTAGTAATACATACTGTAGAGCCGTGCATAGCCGTTGTATGAGTAATCTACAAGATAGCCGTGGATGAGCAGTAACAACAACAACAACCACCATATCTCCTTCGAGTATTATTAAAAGGAGAAGGAAGAGGATGGGGAACAGATCGAAAAAGATATGAGATATGTTATGATAATCTATATTGTTATGATCCAAGTTTGACTTTTGATTACCTCCCTTTCCTATACCCTACCAAT